GTGTGTGTGAGTGTGTGTCTTTGTGTCTGTGTATTCAAAATTTCTTTTCTATTTTGGGAGACGGGAAGGATAATTTAGATATTGTATTTACTACTTATACGAACACAGTCAAATCTCTTAACTACTGAAGCATGGCACGATCAGAGGAGCTGCTGAAATAATGATCAATTGCCTCACACATAGAATAGAGAAAATAATACTTAGCCAAGTAACTTCACAAAGTTTTTATGAGGAAAACATTTAATAACCATAAAATGTTGTAACAAACATTAAGCCTCGCTATGAAGTGACGTTGGGAAGTGTCATAAATGTTTTATTTTCAGTGAATTATCTCATGATGGAACCTATATGCAAAGAAAAAAGTTGTTTTATTCTACAAATATCATTTGTTGTACATTTGAGGGATTAACCTGATACTCAAAGGGGAAAAGATTAATGGGGGCAAAGATATGACCCAGTAGAAATGTAAGAACATTTCCTCTCATTTACAATAAAATTATGAAGTGGTTAAAGTTAGGTATCATCTGATGCACAGATAAATACAAGTTTTATTTATTTCACTTGTCATTTGAAGTCTTTGGAATGTTTAGAAACTTTTATAAGAAAATACAGAAAAAAGTAATGAAATATGAAGTATGACTATTGAATCCTTTTTGAATTTCAAGTGTCTAGAAACTTCTTCCTCCAAAGTTACTAAAGATCTCTTAATTGCCCAATATAATGGTCTTTTCTCAGTCTTCATGCTTCTTACCTCTCTGTAATTTTTGACACCTTCAATCACCCTTTTCTCTCTGGGTTTTCATGAATGTATTCTCTCCTGGATATCTGCTTATCTATCTGACTGTTCTTTGTCTGTTTCCTATGGTAGAACTTCATTGCAGTCACAGACACTACCATTGGGTTTCTTGCAGGCCTCTGCCATAGGTCCGCTTGTCTTTCTGTACTATTATTACGTCGGTACTCTCATCAGCAACCATGTATTCAATTATCATCTCTATATTGATGATTCTTATATCCACATATCCAGTCCTAAGCTCTCTCTGACCTCTAGTCTCACATCTCAAGCTGCCTATTAGATATCTTGAACCTGATGATCTTTAGATATCTTAAACTCAACTTGTTCAAAACTGAACCCTGTATCTTTTCTCCAAATCTCTATACTCTTCCTAACTTCCCTATTCCTGGTGAGGCAAATAACACTGCCCTAATCAATCAGGTTCTCAACCTGGTGTCATCTTCAAAACCTCACTAACTCACATCACCCAATGTCCAATATGTTGCCAAGACCTATTGATTTTATCTTTGTAACACATCTCTCACCTATGTCTCTGTTTCTTCTCTCACATTGTTACCGTCCTGGTAGAGTTCTTCATCACCTCAGGCTAGGACTATTTTAATAATCTGCTGATTGGTCTCACTGCTACAAGTCTCTCCCAACTCCAGTCCATCCACTCAGCTATCAAGGTGATCTTCCTAAAGATCAGGTCAGAACTTGTTACTCCTCTGCTCAATAAGCTCCAGTGGCTCACTATTGCCTCTAGGATAAAATATAAAATGCTCTATTGGGTATTAAAAGTCATTCATAAGCATTCCCTCCTCTTCCCTTCACATCAGTATTATCACACCTTCTAACTCCAGGATTTTTTTCTGTCAGCCATGAATGAAATAGTCTTCCTCCTCATCTCCAAATAATTCATTCCTTAACTTCCTTCAAGTCTAAGCTAAAATCCCATCTTCTAAAGAAAGCCTTTCCTGGTTCCTTTTAATTCTAGTGTCTACCCTCTGTCCATTATCTCCAGTTACTCCTCTATATAGTTTGTTAGTACCTAGTTGTTGGCATATTGTCTTGCCAATGGACTGTGAGCTCCTTGAGGAAGGGAAGTATTTCCAGATTAGAAGTATGAGAAACGAGAAGTGACTAGAAATATTTTCATATGAAGATCAGTTGAAAGAGTTGGATCTTTTTACTTAGAAAAGATGTTGGGGGGCATGATAAATGTCTTGAACTCTTCATAAGTCTGTCATTTAGAAGGATAATTTGTCTTGTTTTTATTATGGTGTACTGGATAGAGGATTAGATGTGGAGTTAGGAAGATCTCAATTTGAATCCTGGTTCAAATAATTACTTGCTGTGTGGCTCTAGTCAAACTTAACATTCCTGACCATGATTTACCTCAACCATGAAATGAGGTAGTTTGAATTTATGACCTCTAAGGTCATGCATTAAATTTAGGATCCAACGGTGCTATGATCTCAAGGGCAGAGCTAGGAGCCATGGATAGAAGTTGCAAAAAATAATATTTCAGGTCAATGTGAAGAAATAACTATAACTCTCAACAATTATAACAAGCTATGTGATATAGAGGAGGAAGAAGAGAGGTCATCCTCTCTGGAGATCTTTAAGTGGAGGTTAATTGACTAGGATTCCTGTCCAGTTGTGATTAAGGTGGCTTCTGAGACATCTTTTAACTCTGACGTTCTATGATTTCATGATGTGAACTTCAGGGACCTGTCCATTAAAAAAGCTTTCTCTTTTACTGGAGGCACAGTCCAAGAGTGATTTTTATTTAGTTTCATGGAAAGGATTCTCATTTACCCAGAAACATCTCCCCTGCCTATAGAGTGGTATACAATGACTCTGCTAAGTTCTCTTATTCCCTAAACTGATATGATGTATTATCCACATTGCCATTCACTCTCACCCAGTATTTTTTTTTTACCTTCTTACTTTTCCACACTTGTCTTCTTGGATGTCCTATCTATTCAGAAACCCCTAGCTTCTTCTCTAAAAGAAGATTATCTCAGTTTCAACTTCTCTTTGGTTGGTGTCCATGGTTTCATGGTCTAATACACTGTTTAATATCCATTTATAGGATCCCTGACTTTTTTTTGACTGCTTTAAATAACATCATGTTCTATTGTTTCTTCTCATATAGGCAGCTAAGTGGCAAAGTGAATAGAGTTTTAGGCCTGGAGGCAAGGAGACATGATTTCAAATCTAACCTCAGAACCCTGTTAGCTCTGTGACCCTGGGCAAGCCACTTAATCTTTATTTGCCTCAATTTCTTCAACTGTAAAATTGTGATAAAAGCACCTATGCCATAGATATATCATAAGAATCGCGTAATATATTACTGGTAAAGCACTTAACACAGGGTCTGGTATATAGTAGGCACTATATAAATGCTTATTTTCCCTCTTCAATTTATTCTTTAGTTATGTACTCCATATGTTTACCTGAAGAATTTCCCAGAAGCTGACTTGGAACTTCTAGCTCTTCACTATTACTTAAAAGTAAAGTGCTAATGGAAAGGATATCCAGGACTACAAATTACTCATCCATATGGAAATTTTTGATAATGGAGGACTAAAAAATATTAGATAACGTTAGGATCTAAATGGTTGGATATAAAAAAGAATCAGAGATGCCAAAGTGGTCTACAAAATTGTACATATTAGGGTCAGTGGTTTTTTATTTTTATTTTTTTTTTTTTTAGTTCAGCTAAAAGATAACAAGTGAAAGAATACAATGGAAAGGAATCAGAGAAGGCATGAAAAGAATTTAGAAATCAGAATGAAACTGAGTTATGGGCCAACATCTTTGACATTTGAGATGTTCATCACCAGTAACTGAGAGAAGGTAAAAGCAAAACAAAACAAAACAACAACAACAACAACAACAAAACAAAAACAAAAAACTACTCACCAGTGAGTGTAAGGAAGAACCTATTCTGAATTCATTGTTTTATTCAACAGTCTACCAATATCTTCTCAGCCTGGAGCTTTAGAACATATGTCAGGGTCAGCAATATGGACAGTCAGCTGAGAAGAATCAGTCTTATTGAATTAGAGTTAATTGCCATAGTGTCCAAGTGGCCAGGCCAATATGGTGCTTAGCCCCTTCTAAAGTTGTACCACAAGAGGACTACAAAAAGTAATGTCAGGAGAAGAATGGGGTTATTCTTTTTTCAATGGTGCCAATTTTAAATAGATTGCATTCTCCAGAACAAGAATTGCATTTGCATTTGTTTACAATACTGATTAACTGCAATGTGGTTCACTTCCTTAACTCTGCACAGGTTCAAATATTCAGAATGCCCAGATTTACACAGTAGCTGAAATGTTACTTTTAAACTGCTACTGTCTTGGCTACAAATTTGATTCCTTCAATTTTTGAAAAGCTGTGTGGAATTTTCATTCTTCTGGTGTGTTTGGTTAACCTCTTCAGTAGTGGCTCCAGAAGAAGCACCTCCACATGCAGTGGTGCTACCCCTTGGGAACCCACCTGGTATGCACCCTACACTCTGGTACTGCTTAGTATTGATGAGGTTGCAAAATTTCTCCAATTCTTTCTACTGATGCTCAGATTCCTCCTTCTCAGCAGTCTGGTTCTTATCCAGCCAGTTGTTCATTACATTTCTCAAGGATCTGTTTTTCTTCATGACTAATTTTGCCTTGTAGTTTTCCATCCTCTATGGTAGCCGTCATGATGAAAGCATAAAATTCGAGACAATTCTTGGAAGACACCTTGTCTCTCTGCTTCTCATCCTCAGCCTTGTATTTCTCAGCATCCTGGACCATACACTCAATATCTTCTTTGCTCAGATGACTTTATTATTGAGGAGGTGATGTATTTCTCCTTGCCCGTGCTCTTTTCCACGGCAGAAACATTGGGGATGCTATTTGCATCAAAGTCAAATGTTACTTCAATCTGAGGAACATCCTTGGGGGCTGGGGTAGTCAAGGAGGATTCCTGTGAACTTAAACTTGCCAAGAAGGTTGTTATCCTTTGTCATTGCTCCCTAACCTTCATAAACCTGAATAAGCATGCCAGGCTGGTTCTGTGAATAGGTGGCAAAGGTCTGTGTCTGTTTAGTGGAGATGGGGTTAATATACTTAGAAAGAGACATCTCCTGGTATGATCACTATTTTTAGCCTCTGAATATTTCCTAAGGTTCACTGAAAAGCGCAAATTAAAATGCTGGAGTTCCAAGTCTGATTTATTTATTGCATAACATCTTTAACACCTTTTCCCGGATCTGCTTGGTCCTAACCCCATAGATGACAGGGTTAAGCATGGGTGGGACAATGACATAGAGATTGGCCAGAAGGATATGGATGTAACGAGGGACATTCCTGCCAAAACGGTGTGTCATGAAAGAAAATAAGGCTGGAGTATAAAAGGCCAAGATGACACAAACGTGGGAGCCACAGGTACTCAGGGCTTTTAGCCTGGCATCCTTGGAGGGGAGGTGAAAGACAGCTTGGAGAATCTGTACATAGGATAGAGCTATAGCTACAATGTCCAACATTAGAGTTCCAATAGCACATAGACCATAGACCATGTTGACTCTGATGCTTGCACATGCCAATCGAGCAATGCCCATGTGTTCACAATAGGTGTGAGGAATAACATGATTTCCACAGAAAGGAAGTCGAAGGATCAGAAACACAAAGGGAATCACTGTGAAGAAAGACCTCACTACCACCACAATGCCCATGAAGGCCACCACCCTGTTGGTGAGGACAGTGCTGTAATGCAAAGGATTGCAGATTGCCACATAGCGATCATAGGCCATAGATGATAACACAGCTGATTCCATTCCAGTCAATAGATGGATAAAAAACATCTGGGTGACACAGGCCTCAAAGCTGATCTCCCTCAATCTGAACCAAAATATTCCCAGCATCTTGGGAATTGTAGTTGTGGATAGGCCTTGGTCAATGGTGGCCAACATGACCAGAAAGTAGAACATGGGCTGGTGAAGTGTCTTCTCAGTCTGGATCACAAGCAGTATGGTGGTGTTTCCCAAGAGGGCAATAAGGTACACAATACAAAAAGGGAAGCCAATCCAGATGTGGAAATATTCCAGTCCTGGAATTCCCAGTAATAGGAAAAATGGGGGATGGAACTGAGTATCATTGGAATGAGGCATTGTTTTTATAGTTGCAGATGACTATGGTCATTGAAGATGGACTTTCAAACACTGGAAAGGATTCAAATGTTATTACTTCATTCTTCTACATTCCTCGAGAAATATAGGAAAGGGGTTTTTTTTTTTGGTTTTTTTCAATACCTCTAGAATAAAAAAAAACTTCAGAATCTGACAGGATATCAGAGATTAGTATTTCATTAAATATTTGCTTAAACAGAAATCTGCTTTATAACTGACTTAACAAGTAGTCATGTAGCATCCAATTAAAGTACCCAAGTGATCTAGAATTCACTGCCTCCCAAGTCAGGCCATGCCCCTTTCTGATAGGTCTAATTCTTAGGAAATCATATTTACATTGATCCAAATTATTCAAATCTTTCACCTTTACCAGTTCTGCTTAGTTCTGAGCTTTAGAAATTCTACTATTATAAGACAGGCATACAATAGTTGAAGACATTTATCATGTTGTCTCCAAGTCTTTTGTCCATTTTCCTCCAACCTAAATATATTGTTTTTTCCTACCTACCTAGGAAAGGCTTCGATTCTGGTCAGTATTTCTTGAAAGTTCTCCAATGTGCCCATGTCAACACAATGCCAATACCCACTGTTACCTGCAACACCTAAAATTATACACAATATTACAAATTGTGCTTCAACAGAGTAGAGCACAGGTACACTATTGACTCCCTCATATTTAAACCAGTTTAAAGTTGAATATTATTTTTGGTATCAATTCCATAATGTTGACTTACAGTGAACTTGTATTCCACTAAAAAAAAAGAGAGCTTTTTTTTTTTTAGTGAGTACTATTGTCTAGTCACATCCTCTCCTACTTACAGTTGTAGATTTTTTTTAGCACTAACATGAAACTTTTCCACTTTTCAATATTTAATTTTGTTATATAAGATTTGTCTCATCATTTTCTCCTCTCATATTCTTTTTGGAACTTGTCAGTCAGTGTAATAATTATCCTCTCAATTCTGAGTCGTTATATAATTATGCAAACCAGCCTGCCATGACTTCACCTATTTCACTGATCAAACATGTTGAACAGCATATGACCCAAGGAATTTACTAGGAACATTCAGAGATCTCCATTTAATTTAATAGTCAACAAATGTTATTAAGTCCTCACTAAATTCAGTAGCCTATAACAGTATGAAATAACAGTGTAAGATCTGTTTTAACACAATATCACACGGAAGGGACAGTAGTTTTGGGCAAGATGGAAGTGTCTCTTCAGCTTACCATTACCATTATCCATCTAAATAATGAAACCACCAGTTGACCAGGGTAAGAAGACACAGATGAGTGGGAAAATAGGTCCTCACATGATGTCACACACTTATAACATCCCAAACATTTCATCCATTAACATGTGGACAACAAGATAAATATTATAACAGCTTCTGTAGTGTAATCAGTTTTTTTCAATAAATCCCTCCAAAAATCAAAAGCCAGAGAGACCTGTAAATTTGAAAACCTCAGTAAAATCAACTCTCCAGCAGGTGGTAGGGAAATTATGATCCCCAAGTTTCTATGCTCCATGTAGGAATGGCCAAAGCCAGCACACGGAAGTCTAAAGAAAAGAATGAGAGAAGTTTTACTCATAGTACTCTTTGCCCAGGCCATATCTGGAATATTGTGCTCAATTCTGGGCACCATATTTTAAAACATTATTGAAATTATATTGTACCTACAGGATGAAGAAAATCATTTCAAATGACTTGAAATAGTGAAAAATCTCAGTTTAAGAAAGTATTGATATTGCGATTTGTGAAGATAAGATTTAGGTGATGAATGCAGTTTTCCAGTATTTTATGGGCTGTCATATAGAAAGGGGAGTAACCACATTATCACAAAAAAAAGAGAATTAGCAGAAATTCTTCAAAGTTTTAAAAATGCATAGAACATTCTAAGATAATTTTTATTTGCTGTAAGCAAACACAAGCTCCTTAGAAGTTTCATACTGTAAGATCCTTTTTCCCTAGTGCTGTTATGAAGTTCAAAAGTCATGACCATACCATTACTTACATCTCCATTTTGTCTCTATAGTTTCATATTTTTCCACGAAGAACAGATTGGGGATTATGATTTTCTTGTGAATTTCAAAAGGTTGGGAAAATGAGCCATCCAGAAATCCCGGAGTTGGAATCCATTCCAGAATCTAACAGAAGCCAGACACTAAAAAACAGAGAGCTAGGCTAGTCTTAGAAGGAACAGGGATGCATCTTCTTCCATCCGTTAATCATGCTGCATTTCGAAATTTAATTGGAAGGATGAACACTATATAGAAACTGTATTAAATCTTACCAAATTTCTCCAGTGCCTGAGATGATATACGGAAAAGTGCTCATTCAAGAATTTGAGGAAACTATAACTTTGGCTCTTGCTAAATTCTTTTGGTAAATATCACTTTGTAAAAACTCATGATGTTAATTAATCTTAACTGGGTAAATGAAACCGGATCACTTATTACTAGTGCCTAGTAATAGACAGAGTGCACTGGAATGGGGTCTTGACTCAATAATATTAGTTAGACAACTCCACCACTTAGGGTTGCCCTACAGATATCAAGAAAGTCAGAGACAAAAAGAAATAGAGGAGAAGAGGTAGAGGAAATAGGCATAAATGATTTGGTAAAGAATTGGGAACAGGACTCTGCAGTTTCACTTTTTTCTATAGCATTTTAGTCAATTACTCACAATGGAGAAGAGTATTTAAGTTCTTTCTTTGGAAAAACTATATATCTATATCTATCTATATCTATATCTATATCTATATCTATATCTATATCTATATCTATATCTATATCTATATCTATATCTATATCTATATCTATATCTATATCTATATCTATATCTATATCTATATCTATATCTATATCTATATCTATATCTACATCTATATCTATATCTATATCTACATCTATATCATCTATATCTATATCTATATCTATATCTATATCTATATCTATATCTATATCTATATCTATATCTATATCTATATCTATATCTATATCTATCTATATCTATATCTATATCTACATCTATATCTATATCTTCAATGACAGAACAGAACATAACATTTGATCTAATATTTCACTCTGCATGAAACAAAATAATGTAAAAGAATGGCTTCTGGGTTTGGAGGTAGAACACCTGGGTTCAAATCCTGATTCCATTTCTTACTATTTGTGTGATCTTCAACAACTCACTTTCCCTTACTGAAGTAAGTTTTGCATATAGAAAATATAGGGGTTGAACTCAGTGACTTTCTAGGACCACTTCAAGCTCACAATCCATGTATGAAATCATACAGCCTATGGGAATTATTTCATTCCTAACTCGTCATTCAGTCAGAAAGGCAAAGCTCTATCAGGAAAATATTTTCCCTATGACGAGATTTTTTAAAATCTGCTTTTCTGTAGTGTCTCCCTTTTCTGTTTTGGGTTTTCCCTTCTGAGTTCACAGATGATAAGCATTTTCGCCTGCTCCTGTTTTCACATTTTTCCCCATAAATCATTTAAATAAAACCAAATTCAATGTCATGATCAACTGTTTTATTCAGTGTTCAAGCAAACTTCTGGCCCCTTATGTTTGTTGTCTGAAGAAAACCTTTCTTTGTTGCTTACAACATTCACTCCTCAGTTTGGACCACTTTTCTCAGCAAATTTTTCCATTCTTTCATCATATGCACTCTTCCTATCCCTCTGGCTATAAAGAAAAAGTTTCACGACTATGTTCAGGGTAAAGAGATGAGAAAATACAATTCCCAACCTTCTTTTCAGAGGTGGGGTTCTATGAATGTGAAACCTTGCATATACTTAATCAGAATCAATGTGTTGATTAGTTTTGCTGAAAATTTTTTTTTTCCCTACTTTATTTTTATCTCTGTTAAAATGGACTATTCACTGGGTAGCAGGAGAGCATGGGTATATTTAGAAATGAAGTAATGTAAGATCAAAAATCAATAATTTTTAAAGAAAAAAAAAGATAAAACTACTAAGGTTATAAACAATGAAACAGGATTCCATTGTTTAACTCACCAATAGTGATACCAGAAGGAAATCATCTATCTGTTTTGACATCAATCTGACCTCTGAATAGGTGTGAGGAGAGAGGCCTTCTATTATAGAAAACCACTTAACAGCTTCAGCCTTAAAACTCCTGAACCCTCCCTAGGGTCTATCCTTTGGGAAAGGGAAAAAGCCCAATGCCTTTAGGCTGGTTTTAATAACCAACAAACACTCTGCTCAAGAGGGAGCTATTGTAGATCCATCTGGGACATGACTTCAGGGCTGGGGAATGATGAGAGAAGGACTACTTGTGAGCCAAGAGGTCCCCACTCTTCTCCAGTTGAACTATAGGAAACAGGTGAAGTAATTTAGGCAGAAGGGCCAGGACTCAGATAAGTGCCTAGGGGGAAAAGGAAGTTGGAGCTGGGTGAATATGCATGGCTTCTACACAGACATAGGAAAAGTGAGACTGTAGGTACAGAAGGCTTGAGAAACAGGAGAAGTGGGAAGATAAGCATCAATTCCAGTGAAAGGAGTTGATGAGATTCATGGAAGGGGAGACCGCACTAGTTTGGTTTTTTCTTTGTTTAGACAAGGCAACATGAACCAATATGAACCGAAGGCACACAAAAAATGTCATAAAAATTTAAGAATGAATGAGTTTGCTTGAAAAATGTAATCAGAAAATATTTTGCTTTACAGATTTTTAATTATTAACATGAAGCAGGGCATAAAACAATGAGCAGTGGACTAGGCAAATATGGTCATTTCACAACTCTAATAGAGGGCATTTTGCACAAGAACCAAGTAGAAGAGGGCCTGATTATGGGTTTCTACAGATGGTGCTTTATTTACATGATGTTCTAAGTTCCTCAAGTCACAGAATATTACAAGGTCACCTTAGAGAAATAGATAATTAGTCAAAAGATATTGACTCATCAATCAAAAGAGGAAAAATCAAACGGATAAAAGTACCTACTGG